CAATCTGCCTGGAACTCCCCAGTCCAGCAATTCTGCTAAGATGTCCGCTCCAGGACAGTCGAACATGGCTCCGGGCCAACCACACATGCTCACGCCTCAGCAGCAACATGCACACGCACAAGCTCAAAGGATGATGTCGAACATCATGGCTCAGCAGCAGCACACGGGATCGCCTCATCAGCTCGGCGCTATGGTCGGTATGGTTCAGCAAGGTGGGGTGCCTGGCGCGATGGCGCCTCAACAGTCTCAGCCTGGTCATCAACCTCAGCCGCCTGTGCAAGGTCAATCGCCCACGCTACAGCAACAGCAGATCAATCGTCTAGTACAGCAACAGATGCAGAACATTGCCGGCCCGAACGTCAACTTGAATCAATTGCCACCGCAACATAGACAAATGCTCGTCGTCCAAGCGATGCGCCAGCTGGGGGCCTTGCTTCCGCAGCAAAACAACTCGAGCGGCAACCAAGCCCCTCAACAGCAGCATGCCATTCAAGCTCAGCAGCAACAGCAGCAACAGCAGCAACAGCAGCAACAGCAGCAACCTCAGCAGTCGCAGCAGTCGCAGCAGCAACAGGCTCAGATCCCGCATCAACTTCAGATGGCTTTGCAAGGATACGCTCAGAATAGCATGGGCAATCCTCTGGGATCCGGAAACAACGCCTTTCCGATGCAGCAGCAGCAGATGAACTCAACGGCCTCTCAAGCTGCCGCTCTAGCAGCCATCTTCCAGCAGCAGCAGCAGCAACAGCAGCAGCAAAACTCGATGCTGCCACAACAGCAACTTCAGCAAGCGGCCATGATGCCCGCATTCCAGGCTATGATGGCGCAGAATCACGGGCAGAACAATCCGAACGGAATCATGCAGTCCGGCTCTCCGCACGCTCAGCATCAGCAGACCGGACAGCAAAATCAGTCCAACTTCAACGCAAATACCGGAGGCTTCAACACGAGCTTCTTGGGCAATGGGGGTCAATGGGGCAGCTCAGGATGAAAGTCCATTGACCACGCCCTCGGTTCCGGTGCACGACAGCAGCTCTGCAGCTGCCTTGCCCTCTCCACCTTCCTCACCAAGTACAGCCCTTTGATCCGTCTCGTCCAGCATCTGTACGACAGACTTCGCAAATTGTACCAAGACACAATGTTCCACAAGATACGTACACCGCCTGGCCTCAATCAAGAGCCGAGGCGCCACTCCATGACTCGTCGAGCGCAAAGAAAAGCGTCATCAGACTCGAGCAAGCAATATGAACTTTACCAAGCGACCCGAATGTTGTGCTTGCGCTGAATTCCTGGCTCGTGTGGAAGCGCAGATTGGGCGGCAGAGTGCCACGGGACGGAGCAAACGTAGATGATGTCAAGGCGAGCTCGTCTGGACCGCGCGATGAAAGCGGGGGCTTATTGTACGAACGAAGCAGCTCGCGCACCAGCGAGTAAAGCGCCGGGCCATGGACATCTATGATTCGGCGCCAAGCTTGTTTCAATGAGACCTACAAATGAGTAAGCGTAGACGATCGGGCGAGCACACAGATCTGAGATTTTGCTCAATCGGGAAATGGGCGCAGCCTGCCATACCTCAAGCGAAGACATATACACATTGAAGTCTTTGGAGGTCCCAATTCAAGTCAGCGTACTTTTGCATTTTATGCCATTTGGCTCTCGGAAGACCTTGAATGTATGCGGGTCAGGTACGAGGCGCACAAGCGGTGTAAATGAGATCGTCGAGGTACTCGAAGTCTCGTTGCTGAGGGCGCGGGAAAGGACAAAGGGTCAGAGAAAAGTCGGGAAGGTTGGGACGCTACCCGCCTTCTGATGTAGCTGAGACTGAGAATGCGGATGTTTGGGCGAGACGAGGGGCGACTAGGCACAAGTGCGGCTGCTTGTGCCAAGGAGAACAGCACGGGCAAGTCGTTGGCCTATGCCATCATTCGTGAGTAAAACCAGCAGCTGTTCAGGGAAAGGCACGACGAAGTCTCTGGTGCAAAGACTTCGGCAGGAAGGCATCTTCTCGCTCCATTCAGATTAGCAGTCTGAGTGTGTAGACGGGGCCTTCGCCTCGACACTCTGGTGACTCACGTAGTAGGACGCAGCAGGCGATTCCCCTCGAAGCACCAATCAGTGAATGACATCTGGGGGCACGATGGGGCGCAGGGAGTCACGAATGACTTCAGCATCGGGGCACAGGACCACTTGCTACGCATACTCGCCAGCTGATGCCGCGGTCCATGGACTCGACAACCCCAACCTGTGTGAGCGGGGACGAGGACACTGGGAAGGTGCCTGGTGACCTCTTGACCAGTCGGTGTGCTCGAGGCTCATCTTTCGCGCGAGAAGCACGCACGCAGCGCCTGGCGCAGCGCGCGAAGATTAGGCTGAGATCGCGCGCGCATTCGTTGCATCATCTGAGCTCAGCTCCACCATTCGTCGCACCAGAACTCAGCTCCACCATTCGCGAGATATGACTCTACCACAAGAATCGAACACATAGACACAATGGACAAAACTCAAACCGAACCAGAGGAGAAGCCTTTCACCGCCTTCAAGACCCTTGTGGAGCGCGGCGAGACTTCTAAGAACCTCCTCCCAGAATGGATGTACAACTTCCTGATGGACAGCATTGCAAAATGTCGCAAGCACTACGTGGCTCTCAGCAATCGCCACGAGAACGAGGTCAGCAAGCGCTCCAAAGAGAAGACTGCGGAGCATGCGCGCTACGAGAGTGTTGTAAGTCTGGGGCTCATCATCGTGCACCATTGCGTCGAGATCACGCCGTCAGCAACACCTGGCTGATGTGCTCTTCCACAGATCGACACCTACCACGGCCTCTTTCGTTTCTTTGACATATCGATCCCTGACGGCGCGGGCTATGCGTCTGTAGAGCGTCGTGGCCAGTATTTGGACCTTCTAAACACCCACCTGACTGTGAGTAATGCAAGGCATAGCTTTGAATCTCAGCGATGAGCATGCTCTGATAGCTTCCTCACCGTTTTGCTCCCTACCGTTTTGCACAGGCATGGACCGCCAATCAACGCGTGTATCGCCTGAATCAAGTTCTGCAAGAGGACAGTGGTGTTGCAGGCCCGTCGACCTCGCAGCCGGGCCCGACCGGTCCATCGCTTGCTCAGCCAACCGTTCCACCTTATGATGCATTCCCTGAGCAAGGCGAAACGCGCATCGTCGGGGGAACCGGAGGCAACGCCTCTCAAAACAGCACTAGCAACCAGACGGTATATCATGGGCTGGTGCAGCCTGTCTCGTACACGTACAATATCAGCTATGGCGGAAGTCGCGCGAGCACGCCGAATCCTCCTAGCAGCGACGCTTGGCTCTCTGACCACCTGGGTCAGCTCAACCTCCAAGCAAGTAAGGTGTCGCCTTGACGCCTGCTATTCTCGTCACAAAGCATTCGCAATCATTAGAATCCGATCGTCGAAACAAGTCGACGCGCTCCCATTTGTTTCCTACCTTGTTCATCATGACTGAGGCCCAGCGGTCATCAGAGCATCACTGGCCTCGTGTTGCGAGTTGTCAGGAAGCATTATGACTGATCCCCAGCGGTCATCAGAGCGTCACTGGCCTCGTGTTGCGAGTTGACCGATGCGCGGCAGTCATCAGCGCATCACTGGCCTCGTGTGGCGAGTTGTCAGGAAGCATTATGACTGATTCGCGGCGGTCATCAGCGCATCACTGGCCTCGTGTGGCGAGTTGTCAAGAAGCATTCGCATGCTTTTGATTGAAGATTCCGGCACGCGCGCCAGCTCACACGTGGATGGTACTACTGTAGCTGGCTGGATGGTACATGCCAATTGTGACGATGTCATTAGCAGAGAGAAGAAGGGTCAGGGCAATGATTGCTTCATGCGTGACGAGAACACGTCCGATTTTGCTCTCTATTCAAGCCGTATCGATATGCCCGCAGCCCTTCATCTCTTCATCCCGTCCAGGCAGATCTTGTCTTCAACAGGTGCACAAAAAGTAATCAGCCATTGCCGAACGATTCGAGCATGAAGCAACGGCACGATGGTGAGGCCCGCACTCTTCGGAGTCGGCGCCAGCCGTGATAAGAGCAAAAGAGCCGTCCGTCGCCGATTCGGGGATCGAACCCGAGTCATTGACAGACCCCACTTTACCAGCAGGTGGCTAGTTCAACGCTAAATTAGCTACCCATGCACTTAGTACTTGGGGAATTTCGCCATCTCCAGGTGCCACCAAAACATGAGGAGGAGTATATAAATCCTCGCGCCGCGCGGTCCTGCATCCTGCATCTCGCTGCATTGCGTTGCATCCCGGGCGCGCGAGCGGCAAGTCGCGTGCAGATCGGGTGCAGCCTTCAGCAGCGCCATGACTTCGGTGATGAGGCAGCATTCGTGGTTCTGACCGCAGGATGTGCTACTCGCCTGGCCGCTTTCGAGAGGCTTGAATGGCATCGCTCGGTAGGTCGCCTTTGATTTCGAGTGCACCTCGGAGGCTGCCGGGAATCGATGTTGCAGAGCGAAGGGTATCAGAGAAGAGAGTTGCGCGTCGGGCTTGAGGGGCAAGTACCGAGCAGCCACTGGCAAGCTACCTTGTCCGTGCGCGTTTTCGATTGAGCAGCTGCAGCAAGGTCAATTGGCCAGTGGAGAGGCCATTCTAAGAGAGCTAGCGAGATCTTGCTGTGGCCAAAAAAGGCCTGTTCGCCCTTTCGCGCATCGGCCATGGCCTGCGCCGGCTGATGCTGAGCGCGGTCTGAGACCTCGTGTAGACTGTGCTCCGCGTTCGCTGAAAGTCTTCGACTGGAACAACAATGCCGACCAAAATCAAGGAATTTCCATTCTCTGCAATCTAATGAAGCCACTTGGTGTTGCGACGATCCTGAACGCTGACCAGTAGCAAACGCATCCACCGCCAAGCCGACGTGATCTGACCGTGAAATCTACCGCCTTTCTTTCTCGACGCGCGGTTGTCCGTTACGGATGCTTATGGATGCTCGTTGCAACGTAAGCGCAGGCGATGCGCGAGCCAGAGAAGACGCGCGTGATTCTAGCGAGACTTTGAATGCACAATTCCAAGCCTGCGCTAGGTTGGAGCACTTCGAATGCACAAGCATGGCACAGCTCATTATCGGTGAGCTGTTGCCACCGTTCACGCAGATCATCGAGGACTCACTCTTTGAGCTGCAATACGGGCCTGCTGGCCATGCGATTCAGCCTTGTCTCAGCGCAAGCAATGAGCTCCTGGTGTAGCCACGTAGCAAACACCTGCTGAGTCCTAGCAGATTCTGTTGCTTGTGTATCCGTACCATTGCCGATTTTACTAGAACAACGGCGCCACAGGAATCTGACCTCAAAGATGCAAGGGTGAGGCAAGGCTGACGACCTCGCATCCGATCGATAGGTGTGCTCGAGACTGCGAGTCAATTGAGTCCGACCGTTCGATGAATTGCGCGCTGCATAAGCCGTGAAGCCGATCAGAGACAGTTGTTTGGCCAGTAGAAAATGGTTCCTCCCCGTTGGTGAGCCCAGGGTGGCGTGAACGTCATGAAGGATAGCGCCAACCAACACTTGACGAGATCCGCAAGATGCCGAAAGAACCTTGAGCGGGACAAGCTGCGAGAAAGACATTCGTCTCTTGACGCACCTCGCTCTTGGGCTCGCATGTCCCGCGGCGAGAATGTAGGGCCAGCTTCACGCCGCGGGGTTCCAAATATTTGCTGAAAGACCTTTACTCGACATTGCTGCAGCTCGTGATCGAAAACGATCCGGTGTACTCGCTAGGCGACAGGAATAGGCCAAGCTGCATCAAAGCTGCTCGCGTCGGGACTCGGCGCGCTCGCCATCGGTACCGCTCGAGATTGATGGCGAGCGATGAGGGTAAGTTGAGTCCCTGAATAGCTTCCTCGGTCCAATTCAAGCTATGGCTCCTTGTCGTGCACTCTGAATAGGCTGTGTTGAGCCGCACCGTCTCGAGGAAGGCTGGCCGCGCCAGAGCTTGCTTTTCTACTCGGCTCTTCCAGTATGTTCGACTTAGAGAGAGAGTAACTGATGCGTACGAGGCCGAGTGTTGTTCGATGTAACGGGCGACTGCTCTCGGTGTGCGAGCAATGCCCGAGCTGCGTTGCCTCGAGTCGGACGGGGCTCGAGTATGTTGTCGAATCTGCTGCGAACCTCGACTGGAGAGCGCCGCAGGCCAGTTTGAATACGCCCGGAGCTACAGTGACCGTCACTCTTGCTTTCATCTGCAGCATCGGGAAGATCCTCTGCAAAATTCCAGATGCGGTAGTCAGATGGAGAGCGATGATGCGGACGGCAAAAGGCTTGTAGAATCCCGAGTACGGAGAGGTAGCGCTCATCCTTAATAGGTCATCGGACATGCTTGATGAGCTTGTGTCTTCTAGTTCAGCATCAACAAAATTCGACTCGGGGGAGATGACACATTTTTTCTGCTGCTGCAGATCTGGTGATGACTTCGACGTCGCGTGCCAGGGTGAATCAGCGTCCGGAAGCCCAGACGCGAGTCATGAAAGCAGCGCTATCTACCTCTCGGCGTTTGGACGGGACGCTGGCTGTAGGCGGCGTAAAGACCCGCTGCAGGTTTGGCGAAGAAAAGATTCGTTGCAGATTTGGCGAAGAAGAGGGTTGAAATTAAAGGCCGGATGCCATCGGTGCATTGTAAAGGCGTGTGACGTAACAATATGGACTCTTGAATACGCTGTAGGTGCTGCATATCACGTGTTATAGCTTGTGTTGCTGACGTCTCTCAGTCGGGCATTCGCAAGCGACGTGTCGATGTCTAGAGATTGGATGCAGGCATGCTCGAATCGGCGGCTGTCGGCCCTACGAGCTAGGCTGTCCTTCACTCCGCGCTCGTGCCCGATCATTTTGGCTAGAAGCTGCGCCGGAGGTTGGACCATCTCAAAGGCTTGTGCGACTTTGAAGACAGTAAGAGCCTGCACCTGAGCGTTGAACCTGAGTCAAATAAGCGCCGCTGGTCTCTGTCCTCCTCTTGCTCGCAGTACCCCCGTCTTCTCTAATGGGCGGTCACGCGAATACGGCATTAAGTCGGTGTCGATGTCTGTCTTCGCGGCACAATCGAGCCATTCCTGTCGTGCAGAGGCCATTCGTGGCGCCGCAAGTGTTCGGGTTGCTCAAATGGTGTTTGAACCGCCTGATGATCCGTTGGCCAGGGCGCTAGAAAGACTCAGACGGCCAAGTGACTGGTGTAATCCAGCATTCCTGCTCTAAAGGTCCAGAGGTTGCGCGAGAAAGTTTGAGGTTGAGCGCTCTCGACGAGCTTCCCGAAGTGGGCGCGACACGAGCGGTAGATGCCTCGAGTGGCCAGAAACACGACGGAATTGCGACCATGAAAAGGATCCTTGACAAGCATGCACCTGAAGCGATAGAGATACGCGAGATCGATGAGGCAATGGCGTCGTTGGTAGGAAAGCTCGCGTGCCGCGTCCGGGGCGAGTATCTTGAAAGTCGAGAGTGAAGCGAAGTCGGTGGCATTGAATGCTGAGCAAGTGCTGAAATGTTCGCGGCATGGTGTCACAATACAAAATCGCTCTTGGTACGGGTCGAGCCTACAGTCTGGGCCGCAAATCCCAGCAAGGAGGCAATTTCAGAGACTTGTTATACTAGTGCGTGTTGACGTAGTGAGGGCGCCTTGCTGGGATTGGCCGGCTTGCCGGCCGAATCTCTTACATTCCGAGCTGATTCCACCCGCTTATGATCCTGTCGTGCTGTGGCAAGTCGGTCTTCGGTCTGCGGTTGGTGATACAGTTGGACCAGCTAGCGCTGCTTGGAGCAAGTCCTGTCGATGTCGTCGGTCAAGCGCAGCGCAAAGGCGGACCTTCCTCCCATCGTCGAAGCGCTCTTGTGAAGCTGAGCCACCGACCGAAATACACCAGTAGACGCTCGTTCGTGGCTCAGAGGAGATGTGACAACTTGACAGCTTTGCGCTACTCCCGTTCGCATATCGGCGCACCGGAAAGGGGATTTTTCCAAAGAGCAACCTGATGGGCACCGATTTCATCGCGAGCGCCGACGTATTGTGGCAAAAGTAGCAATGGTGCTGCCCTGGGTGGTGTAAATTTGAACGAAGCTGGCAGTCTCTGTGTCGCACAACACCATGACATTGTTGCCTTCCCGTCGATGACATTGGCCTCGGCGATATGTGCGCGAGGAGCTTGCTAAGTCTGGAGGCGCTCGTGGAATTTACACACCGAGAAGCGCTTCGACCACTCGGCAAGTGTCCAGTCGCTTGTGCCGAGAAGGAAAGATAATCCTATCGATGCCTGAAATAATCCTGGGTATAGATGATGCAGGCAAGAGAGCCGAGGTCTCGACGAGGATTGCAGGGTTGCTGCTTCAGATGCGGTCGTTCGCGGGAATGGGAGTGCAAGGGCACCTCGTCGATGGGCATAGTGGTCCCACTCCCGAAGTCGAGATTCGTATGACCGTGCCTCCGCCGTAGATCGACCTGGAGCATTGCAGATGTGTTGTCTCAACCTGTACTGGTCTACCGCGCCATCCGGTCACATCCTGTCCATTTGGCTGTGATGGTGGCTGGACTATAAACATGACCCTCGACTGCTTCCCACCGCGTCCTTCCCAGTAGTGCCATTGAATGCCGAGTAGGGTCTTCCTGGCGGCGTATGCATACCACATGTGCTCGTTGCATCCTTCCATTTGAGTGCGAGTGCTGCTGTATGCGTACAGATCGATCAGCGATCGTGATTCTGCTCTCGTGCCCTCCCTGACGCGGCTTGTGGTGCAGCGGTCACAAGTCGATTGACGTGAACACATCTGCGAAGCTGGTAGCTGAAGCCCGAAGTAGTATGAGGGCCGTGTTTTCCCTGCTCAGCAACTGCTCGCAGAACGTTGTAGTTTGCACCTCAATGCGTTGCGGTGAATAGCGTAGAATTCACCGTCACTGGTGTTCGGCTCCGCCTCTTGCATTCCAAGCTCCAGATGACTTTAATCATCTTCCAACAAGACGAGCTCTGCCTATGCTGCACTTCCCAGGGTTCCGAAATGATGAAAGATGACCAGTCGCTAAGGTGGTAAGGATCACACAAGTCGTCCCGCGCTCCAACGTGCCTCGTGCGTACCATGCGACTCACCTGTACACTACCACCACCATGCTGACCCCTTGACCCGATCCACCGTAGCTCGCATCACTCAAAGGTGCATCTCCGCCCTCTCCGAGGCCCACAAAGCACGCTGGAATCCGACCATCGGCGAGAGAGGCTTCCCGTGGCTGCTGCAGAGTTGTGAGTAAGAGGCGAGCGCACTTGCTACTTGATGTCGTGATGTGCGCTGCTCCCCGGTCTGAGCGCCCGAGCGACGAGCTGTGGTGGAGATAGAGGCAACGCGGATGGACGAGGTGTGCTTGAGCTGCGCTGCAGCAGCGGAGGTTATCCTCCAGATAAGCGGCGCGCCGGCTATTACGAATAGAAGGGTAGATGAAGTCTGCACTGCGATCAGAGTGTCAGAGGAATGCGCCAAAGCAGCGTTGAAGCCGCGCAGAGTGACTTATTAGAAGCATGCAGAGCGTATGAGTGAATGAGGTATGATGGTGCTATGGATGCAGGTCCTTCGCATCGAGTCTTCTCCTTTTTGCAGATAGGTGTATATTTCACATTCGAGCCGCGTGCGCTCATGCAGGCAGTGGTGATCTCTGCATGCACTCCAAACAGCACGTGTGTTTGAGGCCTCTTTGCGGCGTCCATTTGGAGCGCGTTCTTTGACCATGATGCTTGCAGACAGAGTCTTCTTGAGTCTGCCTCTCTAATCAAGCCTCACGGCACACAGTATATGAAGCAAGATTAAGAGATGCAGCTGAAGTGGTTGAAGCCCTTGCTGGGGCAGGATTGGCCCTTTCAAATTACCTTGCCTAAAAAATGCGGTCAAGTGGTGTGTCAGGAACAAGGATAGTGTGTAGGATCTTGTTGATCAGCAAATACAGGGCCAACTCCATCTTTGTGGTAAGTGTGACGGAGTGGGGCAATCAGACAGGCAGGTTTAAATACATAGATCTCTCAAGCTGGGAGAAGACCAATGTGATAGGTGGTATCTGTGCACTCAGCAACTATCTGAGCCTAAGCTCAGCTTGAAGTTCACCAAACCTGCTTTTCATAAAGCTCTCGAGCCCAGACATGCCCAGCAGGCTCGCCTTCGGTACAAGTAAGCACATCTCCTCTGGGACAGACTGTCAAGGAAGCTGCACCGTTCATGGAAAGGTATCATAGAGAGGTAAGGTGTCTCCTGCTTTATTCAAAATTCTTCACCGCGATGCCACAGGAGGATTTGGAGGGCAGTGAAGTCAAGCCACAGCTGCACAAAAAGGGCTTGTGTGTCTACAGGACATAAAACAGGCAAAGAGCCCTAGATCTAACACAGAGTGGTGTGATCCGTTGTACAGACAATGGAGAGTGATGGCATAATTGAAAAGACTCACAGAGGAAGCAGCAAGGTTCTTGGCAACCTCCTTGTTTCCTTCATACAGGTAATTTCCTTGAGATGCTACTCCTTGTAGAGCTTCTCAAACAGCGCCTTGCGTTGTGCAGGGCACTCAATGCATGATTTGGATCCAATTGACATGAAGATTTGTATGGTCAGGTTGAGAAGCCAATTTGTATGGTCAGGATGAGAAGCCCTGCAGATCACTTGCCAAGTACAGTTTCATATGGTCAGACACAGGGACAATTGAGATCACAGTAGCTTGTTGGCTCACCCCTACTCCCTCTCCTCCTCCTCCTCCTCCTCCTCCTTCTCCTCCTCATGACCATCATCATCATCGTCGTCATCGTTGTCCATGTGGCCCTTGAGCAGGTGGTCAGAAGGTAGTCAGTCACATGGGCAGTTGCGATCATCGCTACTTATTTGAAGGCACTCACAGAGGAAGCAAGGTCCGTGGCGACCTTCTTTATCTTCTCCTCGCGAAGGACTTGTTCTTGATGCTCCTCCTTGAGGAGCTTCTCAAAGAGTGCCTTGCGTTGAAGCGGGCACTTGGCGTTCTTAAGAGGAGCAATTGGCTGCTTGCAATCGGCATTGAGACAAGGAGGAGCATCTCAAAGAGTGCCTTGCATTGAAGCGGGCACTTGGCGTTCTTAAGAGGAGCGATTGGCTGCTTGCAATCGGCATTGAGACAAATGAGGACAAAGCAAAGAGTTGCGTCAGAATTTGTTCAAGTCTGTTGCGCATATTTCCAATTCTTTATTCCAAACAATGGTTCTCTTGATGACGCGGCACAGGTTCCTTATGTATTGGACACCCCACATCTGGTCTCAAGCTCGACAACGCTCGTGACTCTCGACTCTCAACTACACTCTGTCGCCCACGCGCTCATGCATGTACATAGAGCCTCGCCTCCCATGAACGCGTCTACGTAGGACGATTGCGACAACTTGTAACTCACCTCGATGCGAGCCTTCTTGCGCTTATCGACAATCTGGGTGGCGTATTTCACGTGGAACGAGTACACGCGCTTTGTTTGGCGTTGAGTGGGGTTCGTCATCTTGACGACCGATTGAGGTTTGGCGTGCAAGGAGGGTTTTCTGTTCGAGCTGGTGGTTGCGAGAAGGTGGTAGTGAAGAAGCCAAGAGACGTTCTGGGGTCGCGAGTGAAGCTTCAGAGAGGCACCCAAGAAGGTGTGTGCAACCTCAAAGAGCTTTTTGATAGTTCTGTTGCGCTTTGCGGTACTTCCACACTGGGACATTGATGAGGTGTCTGCGACCAAGGAGCTCATCCTGGCAATGCTTCTCTTCTTGCCACTCGGACGTTTTGCATTGTGGGGCACATTTTCTTTGCCCACTCTTGACCCATCGTCCTTACCACTTGACTTGCTCCTTGACAGAGAAGTCAGAGCGCAGCAGAATAGGGTTGCCTGCCCGACAATTGGTGATGGGACCGAACAAGGGTCAGATGGGCAATGTAGGGGAAGTGGAGAACACGAGCAAGAGCGCACCTTCTCTTGATGGTCTTGGAATCAGTTGACTTGTTGGCAGTCTGCAATCTCAGTACACATGATCTGGCAGTTGGTGACCTAAGTCGCCTTGGGCAGCTTGCTGGAGTCCAAGCTGGAGTCTTGACACACAGCTTGCCTAGACTTTGTCAATCTTAGCTGCAACCCTGTGCTTGACAATGCCAGCGGCAGTCTCTGCCTTGGACAGATCTAGTAAAATAGCCCTTGCAGCAGGATCTTCAACAGCTCCGAGGGCCATGTTGCCCTGCAAAGCTTCAAACCTAGCCTGAGTCAAACAATGTAAGCCCGCCTTGCGCCTTCTTCAAAGGGCAAGCATAGACTGCATAAAACGCACCATCAGCATCTTGTTGACGATCTTGGCTTCTTTGCTCAGCATCTCCTGAACGCTAGCCAACGTTTGGGGCCAGAGCTGGAGCCTTGAGGCTGTGCCACAATCTCACAACAAGTTGGCCCTGAGCAGCTCGCAGCAGGTTAGTCTGGCCAGGAAGGGCTTTCTTCGCGTCTTCACTCACAAGCTTGGACAACATTTTCGCTCACTCTGACCACTGCTTCATTCTCTGCTCGTTGGCCCAATGCAAAGCGGCACGAACCTTGGTGTATTGAGTGCAAAACCTCATTGTGAGAATTCATACAGGCGAAATGCTTGGGGGCTACAAAGATGGCAATGACGCGATCTACTTGCCTCTCACAGCGTTCATCGGCTGCGCAGATGGTCGTCAAAGGGCATGTTGCGTTCTTTCACGCGAGTGCTGCCTGCTGTTTCCACAGAGTTCTCTTCGCTCTGTATCGATTGTACGCATATAGTTAGGCTGTTGGCGCGAGTGGAAATGCCAGATCAAGTTAGGATCTCCCTTCTTTGAAGCCCGCAGGTCAAAGTCAAAATCCTGCCAGGGAAGGCTAAAGAAGGCTCGTTGTTGGCTGCAACAGTGCTTTGTATCAAGGTGTCAGTGTGTAGCTGCCAGTGCTTGGAGATCTTCACGAAACCCACTTTGGCTGAAGTGGGCAACGCTGGAGTCCAGTGCACCACAGCTACTGTCAAGTGAAGGTTCTTTGAGCCTCTTCAGTCCAGACCATTCAAGCAAGGGCTCATTACCTGCAAAGAGCTCTCAAAATGGCTGCTCAGACTTGTGCGCTGACCAGAGACTCAAAAGCCAAGTGGCAGCTGGGCCTTGACTTTGCTGCAAGTGCCAGAGGGGAAGCTCAGCTGGAAAAGCTTAGAGCTCTGCACAAAGAGCATGCCAGGGCAGAGGCCAGAGTCTGCAACGCTATGGCGTACAATAGTGCTTCAGATCGACGATGGGAATGGTCCAGGGCACAACAGGCCAGTGCAATCTGGGCTGCAGCTGCCCTGGTGCGCCTTTACTGACATTGGTCTCTTCTCTTGACTCCAACTAACCAGATTCAGGACCTGCATGCGCAGACCAGGCTCACTGGCCTGCAGCTTCCGGATCTGCAAGACTTTCCACTGAGGGAGCACAAGACTAGACACCTGGCCTTGTCCTCTCAAATGATGATGGATTTTTTGGAGGAGCTGCAAGTGAATGCTCCAGAGGCGGTGCAAGCAGCCGTGGGGAAGACCAACCAATCATGGGGCAGCGCTATCGCTGTTGCACGGCAGGTGGGGTCGCTTGCAGAGACGCCAGAGCAGCCTTCAGGATGGGCAAAGAGGAGCCGCAGGGGGCATAGAGGATCTCTGTGGGTCTCAGACAACAGTCCAAGGCTGGTGGACCGCATCCAGTCAGCTGGGCCAAGCAGCGCAGGAAGTGAGTGCTGGGTCTGCCTCCAAATTCAGTGTCACAAGCAGAATGCTGATTGTGCTTGCTTACTTGTATTCACAGACACCTTTGGTTAATTGCTGCTGACCAAAAAGAGAAAGCACTTGAAGCGAAGGTCTATCTGCCGCGTTTTTTTGGCTTCCAGTACCAAGAGCAAAGTCGTCTCTCCAGACGCATCTCCTAGGAAAGTTGCTTGGATGTTGTGAGCCAGAAAATGAGAAGCATCGCGAACCGTCTGCATCTCCTAGGAAAGTTGCTTGGATGTTGTGAGCCAGAAAATGAGAAGCATCGCGAACCGTCTGCAGCCCTGACCGCAAGCGCGTTTGCTGAGTATTTGTGACAAGCACCTTGACTGAAGAGCCTTGCTACTCAGCGCCACCTGGTGTAGGAGCACATTTGAAGGCTGGTTGACAAGGTCTTGTCCTCCTGGCTCTGCTGTAGGGGATTCTTGAGCAAAGCATCCTGGCTCCTTTGCAGCCTCTTTGTCCACATCCACTGCCACTTGTCCGTCCTCTGCTTCAATCTGCCTCATCTTACTTCCCTTCAAGGGTTCCTACGGCCCGATCATGCTGGTTGCCTCCCTGCAGACATATGCCCACAACCAGAGTTCAGCCAATGCATCCTGTTGAGTCCCCTACTTGTCAGTGCCCACCTCTAGAACATCAATGACATGTTTATGCTCTAACCTTGCTTGCTACCTTGCCTTTGTGTGCTTCTACTCAGGAGATATGCGAGTAAGCCTCACTTGCCAGACGTGTTCATCGATTGTTGAGCTCAACTGAGCCTCCGCCATCACTTGCAAGAAGGTCACTCCAGTACAATCCTTGTAGCTGCCCATCTCAGGACTCTCCACCCCAAATGCGGTTACAATTGTCTGGAGGATGTTGTACTGGGGATCAAAAAGCATTGGCTTCAATGACCTTGCCTCTGGTAGATGCTCGTTCGGGAGATGCTACTCACGTATTCCATTGGACCAATTGCCTCTCTATATCCCGCACAATCCGTGGCTCCTTCAGCCTCTCCGCTGCGTCCCTC